TCCCTCACGCGACCCGCGAAGACAGAGACGCTGCAGCAAAATAGCCGCGCCGCGGCCGCTCAACGTCGGGCAAGACGACGATCCGCTCGCCCAGCAGATGGTTGCGCTCAAAAAGGAGGAGGCAGCACACGGCGGCAGAGTCAGTACCAGCCACAGGGCGCGTATCCGACTTCCAGCCCATCGCCAACGAGACGGGACACCACGGCGAACAAGCTGTCGCCGCCGCCAGACGGATCGAGCCGGAGTGGTCGCAGGAACTCGGTCGACTACCGTCGCTCCGCGGAGATCGTCGCCGGCGCGCCGCCAGCTTTCGACTGGCGTTCGACGTCGCCAAACCCGTACCCGAAGCACATGCTCCCGCCGTTAAATGTAGGTCCATCGGAATTTGCCCGTGGAGGAGATTCTGCACGACTACGAGCAGTCGTTCCCAGGTGAGCGCAAGTCCACTGGCATAAGCCGGCTGGGTAATCATCCTGGGAGTGTTATTGGGCTGCCAGGGCAGGTCCGAACCCCAGCCAGAGCCAGATACTACAGTCGACGAGGTTTATGAGCGGCCAGGCCGGCATTGGTGCACAGGGACGCAGTCCCAGATCGCAGCCATTCGCGCCGCCATCGCGCAGCACTGAACGGTGCCCCGCCCCCAGCACTCGACGAGATGGCGAGCAGGTACCAACTGCCGCCGCTACGCATCGCGATTCGTAAGGCGAACAAGGTGTGTGCGAGCTCGATTGAACTGAGTCAGCAGGAGCCGGTCGCGTTGGCGGACCAAGGCAAGAAATCCGAGGTGAAGAAGTGAAGCGCAACGGTCAAGACTCGGAAACGTCGGCAAGCGGCCAGCGCATGCGAGTGAGACGAAGGCGTGAAACGGGCGCGAGTGCGGTATGCAGGGTGCGGGCGGGCGCTGTACGCAGGAAGCAGGTGGGCGTGGTATGCAGGGTGCGGGCGGGGTGGTCGGGCAGGAGGCGTACGGGGTGGTCGGGCGGGGGCGCATGGGCAAGGTATGCAGGGGGCAAACTTGGTATCGCGTGCGGGGTGTCGGTGCAGGCAGGCGCGGTACGCAGGGTGCGGGCGGGCGCAGTACGCAGGGTGCAAGCAATATGTAGACGGACACTCGATAAATGTATTCTTTTTCTGGCAACTAGTGCAATACAGGAGCATCTAGCAATATGCCCGGATCTGCTCCCAGCTGCATACGAGTGATTTTCACGCTCAGAGCAGCTCCGAGCAGTTTGAAAAATGCGAAAAGTCTAAATTTCTTGCTCCAGGCTGCTCGGAGCTGCTCGCAGATGTTCTTTTCACAGCAGCCCCACCGAGCAGCTCCGAGCATCTCAGAGCATCTCCCAGCAGATGCGTTTTTCACTGGGTAGCAGGCTTGGGTATCCACACCCCGTTTACTGAACGGACGTGCGTAGGTCCCCGCGACGGGAGCCTGAGTCCCTGAAGATCCTGGAAGCCCCGGGACAGGCGAAAGATCTCCGGCTAGGCTTTTCTCGAAGAGGGAGCACCCTTAGCCTTCTTCTTGGCGTTCTCCGCCATATTAAGACAATCGAAGACGGTGTGCTTTCCCTCGACGCAGTAAGTAGAAGAAGAAATCATTTTTGCGGCGATACCCCTTCTCTACTGGGGTCAGCGGCCCGGGACCGCGTCAAATGGCGTCGATCTCCATCGGAACAACGTCATTGTTTGACGGTGTGCTTGCGGACATGACTTCTCGAAATTTATCGTGGAAAGAAGTTACACTTTCTGGTTTAGCCATATCTGTGATACCTATAGAAGTGGGCGCCGGAGCGGATGACGTTGGCCGTGCCGACAACGAGAATTCATGCTGCTTTGCAGTGAAAGCGAGTGCTTACCAGTAAGAAACCCTCTTGTCATGCTCCCATGGATCTTGTTGTCAGCATCAATCACAATCTTGGTCCACGCCTCGAGTGTATCCGGACGGGACACAGTAATCAGGGTCTGCTTAACAGTGGGCTTGAGACCCTGATCGAACATCGCGATCTGCATGTAGTCAGACATGTCGACAAAGGGTAGAAGCTCCTTGAAGCGGGAAGCAAAGCTGGGACAGGCCTTATCAACCTGGTTACTGTCCTCGAAGCGCTTTTTCAAAACGCGTCTTTGAAACGCGACCTGTCGCGCAGCAACTCAGGTTGCGCGCGCTTGACGTCGTTGTACCAGTAGAGGAATGAACCATCCTTGAGATACATGGACAGAATAAGCGCAACGTTCTGACCTTGGGGTCAATGTCCCAGCGGGTTTGCAGGGCATTTCAGAACCTGCTGTGTCACGATCACGCCGGACGTCTCTATCAAAGTCGCGTGGCACCCCATTACAGCGCGAATAGAAGTCCTGCTTATAATGATTTCTCGTGTACGTCAGAGATATTGTGACTCATTAGTATGCAATATAATTCTTGGTGTCGCGCTACAGTCAAGAGGTAAGAGAATAAGCACAACATACCAACAAGCATGCTCAGGCTAGTATTACTGCTGCTTTTGAGTCAGCGGTGTGCGATGCACTTGTAACCTAAGGATAACGTTCGAAGGAGCCGCCTGGCCGCGTTTGTGGGTAATTGTAATGGGTATGGTTCACCTGCGCTCGTGCTTCTCGATGTCTCGCGCCCACCGCTAACTTGAAGGCCATTTTGAATGAAGCGGTGTTTTGCACCGACGTCGCATTGCTCTTTAACAATGTCAGCAGCGCAACGCAGCAAGCGGACATGTTCGTCCACGTCCACGTCATCTTCGTCATCAAGCTGGAACAGACATTGTGGGACCGTGTCAGTGTTGGCGCACAATCACAATTGGGTGGCATTTCTTACCGTAAAGCCCGCGCTTCCGCGCAACAAGCCGTCGCGTCCCGCAGGCAGCGGTCTATTAGGTGAGGAATTTATCTGTAGGTGTAGCATGCATGAGTCCGAGTCATGTAACTGTACAGTTCGCGTTGACACTCACCGGTGAGGACCTGCTAGTGACTGTCAAGGCCGGCAGCACCGAATCAGAGTCTTTCGTTCCTAATTTCTCTGAAGTGTCCGCCTGCGCCTGAGACTCGGATGCGCGGGACATGCCAGTTCTCAATGAACAACGGGGAGGCTCGACGTCTGTGAGTGCTGTGACGCATGCTTCGAAAACAGCCGTATGATCGTCAGTCGATGCGCAGGTCCTTTATTCGCGCTGTACAGTGTAAGTAAGTAATGGGGCGCGACGACGCCGCCGCACGCGACCTAGAGACGTCCGGGGCGATTGCGCCACAGCCGCCACAGCGGGGCTTGAGATGCCCTGCAAACCCGCTGGGACATGTTCTACAGTTCGAACGTCGCACGGAGTTCGCGCAGAAAAGAAGGGACTTGGTCAGAATTACCTGAGAACATGCGCGGGGCACGCTTGTTGACATTAGGACCAGATCCCCCGCTGCTCCCGTTGCCCTGAAAGGACACGGTGACGTTGAGAGCCTGAGGTGACGTGGCCACGACGGTGAGATCTTCGACGCGCTCGGTCATCGCGAAAAACGCGTTGTCCAGTTGTGCTTGGTTGTTTGAGAGCTGTTTGGCATGTCGACAGAGAGCCTCAAGTGCTCAGCAGAACGCCTGGGCTGGATTTTTGGGGACAGGGGTAGACTGCGGCGGTGGTGGAGCGGTCTGTTGTTGACCAGGGCGATCGCCAGGACCACAGCCGTCAAAATCCTGGCTTGTGTCGAAGATTTATATGGTAGGTCAGATAGTAGAGCCTTTGCGAGCTCGAGTACTAGGCTAGAAGCAACAAAGGAATACCAGATAAGATTGATGAACTGGCGCTCAGACAGCCTGAGCTATCCAAGGAATAGAGGGTGTCACCGGAGAACTAGTTACAGTCAATGAACAGCTCAGAGTGACCTGACATGCATTGAAGCCACCTTAGAGTACCTACTCCGGGGTGTGCCTTTCGACACAGTAAGTTCGATCGTGTTAACGAGTACATATTCAGTCGTAGTCCTCTTGGTACTCGACTGAGGTGCAATTACTCTACTCGCGCGCTCTTGCGCCTTCCACAGAGTCATGTGTCCGCGTCACCGTCCTGCGTCAACAGATCAGGCTCTAGAGCGGGGAAAGCTTCAGGTTTTACCTGCGCAAGCACGCGATAATTATGGTGCTGTATCTTTAGAATGCGCCGGTGCACAACGAGGTTATCTGCTATGCAATGCCTCCACCGCGCTAGAAAGAATTAAGGCCAAGCATCAGCGCGTGGTACATCGTCTTCGATATGGGGGTAACAGCTTTGCAGCAACGCGCCGTAGTCGCCTTCCATGTGGGTACCGCAGCTCACCCGTTACCCCACAGGTCAGGGCACACGTTTTGAGCTGGGCTGTGCCCCACACACATTCTATCTCTACTCACATCCTGTTTATTCCACTCGCGTCCACTTAACTAGGACCTCGCTACGAGTCCGAGCTGGACAGTAATCAATCGCGCCATAACTGGTGACCGAGCCCATGTATGTATTGAGTTGCATTGCGTCCCAGTACATAGACTACCTGTCAGGCAGCCAAACGAGCTGACGAACCGTTGAGTTGCAGCCGAACCACGGGCGCTCCTCGATCGCACTCGATCGCACGCAAATCGTGTGGGCGCTAGCGGGTCGCGTCCAATCGCACGGGCGCTCCAGCGCTCAACTTGCGCTCGCCTCTCGTATCCTGGCCACGCTCCTCGTCAGTACAACACTCTCTAGTTGTGTTGGCCTTTGTCGCGACCCTTGCTACAACACGCACTCCTGTCGCGCCCCTGACAAATCTCTCCAGACCATCCGCAATGACCACGAACACCGCGTGTCGCTCCCCGCGTGTCTTATCTGGATCAAACCGTCGCAAGTCGATTTGCATGGGCGTACGGCAGCCGGGCGCAAACGCGGAAGGGAAGACCGGCCGTGGTTACGTCGTATTGCGTCCAAAATGGCGAGATAGTCGGGTTTTGGTTCGTACCGATCACGAGCTCGCTGAACATCCGTACGGTGAGTAATCTAATCGCTATGCTCGTCGCCCGTGCCCAGACCTGTACGCAGTGCAATCACAGCGTCTGGAGGCCTGTTAACTGGGGTAAGGAGAAAATCAATACCCCGCCGCCCCTTAGACCTGGTGATCTCTCCGTCATCCTGCCGCTGAACCCGTATCGGCCTAAGTTCCATGCCCGCATGTCGTATATCTACGTGGGGGACATAGGGGAATACATAACGGTTGCCGACTGGTCCTCTAGGGTCAAAGCCCGTGTTGTGAGGGTCCTTGATGACAACCTCAACTTGTCGGAGCAGGGCCTGAAACGGGCATCCGAGACGGTGTACTGGATAAGTGAGTACTTCTATCTAGTGCGATTGCAATATCCTGACGTTGTGTAGCTCAGAGTATTGCTATGTAGAATAGCAGACGTAGATTTTAGTATAATGTAGTGCACAGTCCAGGACTGGATTTGGGTGCTAGGTGAGTGTCAGGCTTGATCGCGTGCGAGCCAGGCTAATTGCAATTGAATCGCTAAGGTTGAACTGTCTAATATCGGACTGTAGGCTACACCAAGGGATGGAATCGGAGATGTGGGCAGAGATCGGAATCTCCGGTGACTCGCTAAAACGCCACACGATACAATACTCTTCTTATTGGCTGCGACTCTTCCGTCATGAAGGTAAGGCATCTCCTATCCAGGTTGCACATCGTTTCAAACCTCCATTCGCACCTAGGTAGTATTCTGTGGACCGACCAATGTGTCTCATTGTAAGTCGCAACCGTCAATGTATCTGAATGCTAACTATGCGGAACGTCAGCCAACAGAGGCAGCCTGCTGTTGTCTGCCCACCCACCCACAGATGCACGGTGTTCGTACGTCTCACGCAAAGCGACCCTCGATAGCCCGTTCAGAGGCGCGGCACACACCCGCGAGCTCACCGGAGATGTTCTACAGTGACTACGAGGTGTGCAGCCCTTTCTACCGATCTACAAGACTTTTTACGATTTATCTTGAACTTCGCCAGCTGAACAGTGAACTTCCACCAGTTCAGCTAGCAGTTCCACTTGGCGACCTTCCACGCGGCGCAAGGCCGCCGGCGCTATTCCTCCCCTCCAGGCTCCTGGCTCTCTCCTGGAACTCCCACCCTCGACATTCGTTCTCTCCGGCTCGGGTCTGACAAAATCAACTCGAAGTCCTACGGCTCCAGCGATCCGTACACCAGCTCCACGACTGGGGACTTGCGCAACGGACGTGCAAGTTCAGCGCTGAGCGACAAGGCCATGCAGGAGGAGACAACCACGAATGAGGGATAGACAGCAGAAATCACGAAGGAGAGGGACAAGGAGGAAGAGAAAGGGAAGGAGGGGCAAGGGTGTGGCGAGAGGAAGAATGAGCTAGAAAGCTCGCGAAACAAAGGTACGCCCTCAACGGACGTACACCGCTCGCCGCCTCCATCGTCAGTGCCCACGCAAACAGGTGTTTCAGCGAACAAGGAGTTCGCTGTGCACCCTGTTCGCCATGAGAAAGGCACACATGCGAAATGGGACGACTTAACAGACAGCAGTACGACGGACACGCGCTACTGCATGTCCGGCGTACTGCACCTGTCTACGATCGACCGTCGTGCAGGTGCCGCACCGCTCGACGCACGTGCTGGCGTGCCCATCGCTGCACCTGGGGTACACCCAAGTGTACCCGGCACGGGTCACAGCTCCACGGAGTCTATGCTCACGAACGAGGAAACCGAGGTGCCATTACGGAGGCCCCGGTAGTCAGGCATCCAGTGCATATCCCCAGAGCCACACTCGCGCACGATGACATACCTGGAGGACCTCAGAGACCTACCAGGTCATTTCCATCCTTTTGTCATACCTGTCGTATTGCGATTACGCCGAGTCCACCACTCGACGTAGGCATTATGACTCTATTCGGCGACGCGTGCGACGAATGTCATACTTTATTCACGGCCGTTCCTAATGTCCCGACCTCGCACAGCGACGTACTTGGAGAGCTTCACAGCTATACAAGGTCATCCCATCTTTATTCACTGCTACGTCGAGCCGCGAGTACACCAAACTCACCGTTTGATGTATCCGTGGTAGATCCTCATCGTGATATGAGTGACGTACTCGTCGCCATCCATCCCATCCCTGCGTCGACTAACTCGACTCAATTGACTGCACCAATGTGTTATACAACGAGGGAAACGGTCATTGTACACGTGAATGGTGAGTTCATCGAGGTATGGTAATCATGCAACGGCCTGGCTAATGAGCTCAGCGTCGTCACGATGCACGACGTGTTTGGGGTGTATCCCGGCACGACCACCGCGTCTCATCCCGGTGCTATTGCATATTGCACTGCGGACACGTCGAGCTCATCGTTCGACGTATCTGTTGTGTATCTTCCTCGCAATGTACTCACCGTGGATGCTCACTCTTCGAGGTCGATTCGATCGCGCACAGTTACCGCCTCGATACACGACCTGTCCGGCGTGCGATCGAGCACGACAAGCACGTCTTCTCATTCGAACACGAAGGAGATGGAGAGGGAAGGGAGCGGCGAGAACACGATCAGCGAGTAGCAAGGCTCGAAGAATGAGAGTACGCCCATGCTGGACGTACTCAGGCTATCGCCGCCGCCTATTCAAGCATTGACGCAAGAGTGCTGCACGACGAGCTCAACGCTCATCGTGGATGCTACGTGCAATCGCATTGACATGTTGGACGCATGCAAGAACGTGTCCAGCACGTCTAGTCTAGCTGAGCGGCAGGAGTTATGCAACACTCCGAAGAATGGTTCGTGTGCCGAGACATGACGGGCCTACTCAGAGCCTTCCGGAGATACCATCTCTGCCCTCCCATGTCCAGCTGACAAATCTCGGCACCACTCTCAAGAGCGGTGCATGCGCTAGACTCGACGACGCAGTCCTCGCCCCGCCTGTGCCAGAATTCAACGAGCTGTGTGCTGAGCTGACTCGTATCTGCGCCCGGGAAGGGATAGGGATACGACATTGCGTCGGGTCCAGCGAGAATGAGTCAACTCTCGCAAGTTCATGCGTCGCGCGTTCAGAAATGAGCCGTGACGCCAAATATATTTCGTTTAAGTCGAAAGACGAGGTCGAAATGGTCAACGACTGGCCCGACACGACCGGCGACACGCTCAACACCAAAGGTGTGCGTCACAAGCCCGCGTCGCCGGTAAGCGCTCAGAGAGCTAGCTCCCAACACACTGCACTGGACCGCCACCACTCAGCGCTCAACGTTGAACACTCGTCAGTTCAGCTAGCAGCGCGTGAAGACCCTGCAAGTGGCTCAAGACCGCCGTCTCCGTCTTCACCAGGCCATCATCTTCCGTCTGCGAGCCTCCTACCTAATCCTCTGGGTCTTGACTCTTGCACCTCACATCTCGATTCTGGCAACCTATACAGCGACTCTGGCGACCTCTACTCTGCCGTATGTGGCGCCGGCAACGTGCAAGCAATCTGTCCGGCCAGGACTCCCAGCACTGAGCAACAAGGCCACGCGGAATGCAGGAAACACGAAGCG